ATGACGTGTGCCATGAATATTCATGAAAATAATTTCTCCAGTAATCCCCCTTGAGTATTGTCTGGGGCCCACGGATGGAATATAGTATTTTCTTTATGAGAAAAGGTCGACACGAGCTGTCAGAATAACTTCTCATCTACCCCTCCGCTGTGCATACAGAACACACAGAGAGAGAGAGAGAGAGAGAGAGAGAGAGAGAGAGAGAGAGAGAGAGAGAGAGAGAGAGAGAGAGAGAGAGAGAGAGAGAGAGGTGAAAGTACGTACTATGAGAAGTGAAATGCAAATAGAACGTGGTAAATGCTACAGGGGTGACAAAAATACGATAACTAAGTATTGATCAAATCCTCCCTGACCGTCGGGCCGGTCTATCAAAGAACAGAAGATGGTTTTAGTTGTTTCATACGACCTTGATACTGACCCAGGGTTCCGCCGAGTGTCGATGTGTTCAGTATTATTTCCCAAGGCTTCCCCTCTTAAGTATGACATTTGACTGATATAAGAATCGACATCAAAACCGACCGCTCATACCCATAGACCAGGGCTATTCCACTCAGGTACCAAAATATTTTTTTTTTTACAGTGAGGATTGTATTGGGCCGAAGGTCAGATCCAGAGCCCAAGCATAGAAAGATCATTAATACAATACAACTGACACTGTCTGCACGTCATAGTGATTACCATCATCATCTGTCACTGTCTCCACATCATAGTCATTACCATCATCATCTGGCACTGTCTCTACGTCATAGTCATTACCATCATCATCTGGCACTGTCTCCACGTCATAGTCGTTACCACCATCATCTGTCACTGTCTGCACGTCATAGTCATTACCATCATCATCTGCCACTGTCTCCACGTCATAGTCGTTACCACCATCATCTGTCACTGTCTGCACGTCATAGTCGTTACCATCATCATCTGTCACTGTCTCCGCATCATAGTCATTACCATCATCATCTGGCACTGTCTCTACGTCATAGTCATTACCATCATCATCTGGCACTGTCTCCACGTCATAGTCGTTACCACCATCATCTGTCACTGTCTGCACGTCATAGTCATTACCATCATCATCTGCCACTGTCTCCACGTCATAGTCATTACCATCATCATCTGGCACTGTCTGCACGTCATAGTCATTACCATCATCATCTAGCACTGTCTTCACGTCATAGTCATTACCATCATCATCTGGCACTGTCTCCATGTCATAGTCGTTACCATCATCATCTGTCACTGTCTCCACGTCATAGTCGTTACCATCATCATCTGCCACTGTCTCCACGTCATAGTCGTTACCATCATCATCTGGCACTGTCTCCACGTCATAGTCATTACCATCATCATCTGGCACTGTCTCCACATCATAGTCATTACCATCATCATCTGGCACTGTCTCCACGTCATAGTCGTTACCATCATCATCTGGCACTGTCTCCACGTCATAGTCATTACCATCATCATCTGGCACTGTCTCCACGTCATAGTCATTACCATCATCATCTGGCACTGTCTCCACATCATAGTAATTACCATCATCATCTGGCACTGTCTCCACATCATAGTCGTTACCATCATCATCTGGCACTGTCTCCACGTCATAGTCATTACCATCATCATCTGGCACTGTCTCCACATCATAGTCGTTACCATCATCATCTGGCACTGTCTCCACCTCATAGTCATTACCATCATCATCTGGCACTGTCTCCACATCATAGTCGTTACCATCATCATCTGGTCTCCACATCATAGTAATTACCATCATCATCTGGCACTATCTCCACATCATAGTCATTACCACCATCATCTGCCACTGGATGGCAGGCAATGGCCTATGTATTGTTACGTCTCCACGGGCCACATCTGACCCGCGAGCCGCTGGTAGTATAGCCCTGCTGTAGGTGCTCCATTGCCCCAGCAAACTGATTATAAACTGGTGGTTCTCTTCCTCTCTGACATCCCTGCTTGCCTCATCCACACCTGATTACTCGTTCACACAAGTTAGACAAGTAATTTCCTCTAACCTTGTGTCTTCTTGTCAGCATTCGTTCATAAATAGTGTTTGGAATGTCTCCACTACAGTACGAGTGTTCTTGTAGCTGTAGTTTGGAATGTCTCCACTACAGTACGAGTGTTCTTGTAGCTGTAGTTTGAAATGTCTCCACTACAGTACGAGTGTTCTTGTAGTTGTAGTTTGGAATGTCTCCTGTGTCCTGTACGAGTGTTCCTGTTGCTGTAGTTTGGAATGTCTCCACTACAGTACGAGTGTTCCTGTAGCTGTAGTTTGGAATGTCTCCATTACAGTACGAGTGTTCTTGTAGCTGTAGTTTGGAATGTCTCCACTACAGTACGAGTGTTCCTGTAGCTGTAGTTTGGAATGTCTACACTACAGTACGAGTGTTCCTGTAGCTGTAGTTTGGAATGTCTCCACTACAGTACGAGTGTTCCTGTAGCTGTAGTTTGGAATGTCTCCACTACAGTACGAGTGTTCCTGTAGCTGTAGTTTGGAATGTCTCTACTACAGTACGAGTGTTCCTGTAGCTGTAGTTTGGAATGTCTCCACTACAGTACGAGTGTTCCTGTAGCTGTAGTTTGGAATGTCTACACTACAGTACGAGTGTTCCTGTAGCTGTAGTTTGGAATGTCTCCACTACAGTACGAGTGTTCCTGTAGCTGTAGTTTGGAATGTCTCCACTACAGTACGAGTGTTCCTGTAGCTGTAGTTTGGAATGTCTCCACTACAGTACGAGTGTTCATGTAGCTGTAGTTTGGGTGGCTCTTTCATTTCCTCGCACTCACGCACATCCCGGACAGTATTTACAGCTCGGTCCCTGTTTTCTCTTGGGTATACCCTGGTGTGTGTGTGGTGTGCGTGTGTGGTGTGTGTATGGTGTGTGTGTATGGTGTGTGTGTGTGGTGTGTGTGTGGTGTGTGTGTGTGGTGTGTGTGTGGTGTGTGTGTGGTGTGCGTGTGTGGTGTGTGTATGGTGTGTGTGTATGGTGTGTGTGTGTGGTGTGTGTGTGGTGTGTGTGTGTGGTGTGTTGTGTTGTGTTTTGGTGTGTGTGTGGTGTGTGTGTAGTGTGTGTTGTGGTGTTCAAGGCCAAGTGGTCAAGCCGTTTGCCTGAAGGTTTTGGGTTCGCTTCACAACTGCAACGTTCAGTTCACGAGTGCAATTTTTACAGACATCTCTTGGGATCATTGCCGGAGCTACGGAGTTCGTGCTGTAGGCGATGCTCTAGGCAGGTTCAGGAAAGAGAGAGCCAGCCATGTGTGGTAAAATCTGGTGCAATGAAGTCGAACCTCCTGACTTTAACTTTAACCTTTTTTTTATTAGCCAGAATCCATTTTAAATGGCTTCTTTAACCTCATAAATAGCCTAAAACCAGAATAAATACCCACATATTTGTAATGGGGGTGGGGTGGGGGGGGGTCCACCTTGCCTTAGAGTACAAGGGGGGGGGGGGTCCCACCTTGACTTAGAGTACAAAGATCTGAGGAAGCTGAGGGTCAACTATCCTTTAAGTATCAACTCAATGTTGCTAGCTCTTATCGCAGTGCTTGTAAGTCACTGACTACCGTTGCTAGTGTATGCCGCGACACTCGTGTAGGCGTCGAGGTCCTGATGACCACTGTCCAATTAGCCGGGACACTCTTGTAGGCGTTGAGGTGGGTGCTGATGGTCACTGTCCAGTCAGCCGGGACACTCGTGTAGGCCTTAAGGTGGGTGCTGATGACCACTGTCTAGTCAGCCGGGACACTCGTGTAGGCGTTAAGGTGGGTGCTGATGACCACTGTCCAGTCAGCCGGGACACTCGTGTAGGCGTTAAGGTGGGTGCTGATGACCACTGTCCAGTCAGCCGGGACACTCGTGTAGGCGTTAAGGTGGGTGCTGATGACCACTGTCCAGTCATCTGTTCCAGTTGAGGATTCTAAATTTTCTCTCCGTGAATTAAAACTGCATATTCTAGTGGTGTACACATTGGATCACGTGTGGTTCTCGTTGTCTGTACTCCTCACACACCATACTTGAGTATCAGAGGGAGAGAGGGAGGGAGAGAGAGAGAGAGAGAGAGGGAGAGAGAGAGAGAGAGAGAGAGTTGGGGGGGGGGTCGAACAGAAAACGAAAGTGAAAGTGTGTGATCTATAGAGATATAGTCAAAGAGATACACACAAAAAAGAGAGAGATGCAGAGCGTGTTAAAGATACCTAAGGAGAAGCTAGAGAGAGAGAGAGAGCGAGAGAGGGAGCAGAGAGAGCCAGGGTTCCCACAAACAAAGGACAAACCCACAGTCCACTTTTAGTTGATAGACTAAGATTGACGTATTTGCTGATGTTTTCAGTAATTGTAACGATGCCGCATCAAGTACAAAACACGAGATTGTGGGAGTGGATTGGGGCGGGGCTAAGGACAGAGGGATGCATAGAATCTGCGTAACCAGATCGCCACGGGAAAACAAGTCTCCATTCTTGGCGCCAAGAATCTTTCCAATTCTCAGAACGCCATGTTCCCAATCCCAGACGGATGGCTGCAAGATTTGAAGGGAATATCTCCGCGCGTGTATTAGCATTACAAAGTGACTCGACCCCGATAATGTTGATGGATGAGGAAGTTGTTTCATGGCGGCCTCCACAAAAAGACGTTTTCGTGGTTTCACAGCGGCGAATTCACTTCCTGATCTTTGCTTCGAGTCAGATAGCGACAGACATCAGCGTTCAAGTGTTTAGTTTAGCTTCCTATCAACAAGATGGTGGTCTGTAGTAATAAAAAAAATATATATTGTCGAGTTTTTGTTTTGTTAAATAATTTTTTTTATAAAACGTTATGTTTTTTTACCATCGTCAAGGTCATTACCCTGATCATCTCCCACTGGATTGGGGGAGGGGGGGGGGGGCAATGGCCCCTTTTCATTCCTGGTGGTTGTATGTAATGTCAGCAGGAAACCTTCACCTTGAGCTGTTGCTTTCATGCTGTTGATCTGTCTCGCACACACCAGGTTTGTCAACTACACGCCAGACATGCCAGAAGCCAAGACCAGACAGTTGATTGGCGATGCCCTGCGAGTCTGGAGTGACGCTACGCCCTTATCTTTCACGGAGGTCCGCGACTCCAATGCCGATATCATGATCATGTTTGCCAGCCAGTACCACTCTGATGGCTACCCTTTTGATGGCAAAGGTAGTTGTCTTATTTGTTAGAGTTGTATGGCAGGAAGAGATTAGAGTTGTATGATAGGAAAAGATCAGAGCTGTATGGCAGAAAGAGATTAGAGTTGTATGGCAGGAACAGATAAGAGTTGTATTGCAGGAAGAGATTAGAATTGTATGATGGGCAGAGATTAGAGTGGTATGATAGGAAAAGATAAGAGTTGTATGGCAGGAAGAGATAAGAGCTGTATGGTAGGAAGAGATAAGAGTTGTATGGCAGGAAGAGATTAGAGTTGTATGAGGGGAAGAGATTAGAGTTGTATGGCAGGAAAAGATAAGTGCTGTATGGTAGGAAGAGATTAGAGTTGTATGAGGGGAAGAGATTAGAGTTGTATGGCAGGAAAAGATAAGAGTTGTATGGCAGAAAGAGATTAGAGTTGTATGGCAGGAAAAGATAAGAGTTGTATGGCAGGAAGAGATAAGAATTGTATGGCAGGAAAAGATTAGAGTTGTATGGCAGGAAGAGATTAGAGTTGTATGGCAGGAAGAGATTAGAGCTGTATGATGGGAAGAGATTAGAGTTGGTTGACAGGAAGAGATTAGAGTTGTATGGCAGGAAGAGATTAGAGTTGTATGGCAGGAAGAGATTAGATTTGTATGGCAGGAAGAGATTAGAGCTGTATGATGGGAAAAGATTAGAGTTGTATGGCAGGAAGAGATTAGAGTTGTATGGCAGGAAGAGATTAGAGCTGTATGATGGGAAAAGATTAGAGTTGTATGGCAGGAAGAGATTAGAGTTGTATGGCAGGAAGAGATTAGAGCTGTATGATGGGAAGAGATTAGAGTTGTATGGCAGAAAGAGATTAGAGCTGTATGGCAGGAAGAGATTAGAGTTGTATAGCAGGAAAAGATAAGAGTTTTATGGCAGGAAGAGATTAGAGTTGTATGGCAGGAAGAGATTAGAGCTGTATGATGGGAAAAGATTAGAGTTGTATGGCAGGAAGAGATTAGAGTTGTATGGCAGGAAGAGATTAGAGCTGTATGATGGGAAAAGATTAGAGTTGTATGGCAGGAAGAGATTAGAGTTGTATGGCAGGAAGAGATTAGAGCTGTATGATGGGAAGAGATTAGAGTTGTATGGCAGAAAGAGATTAGAGCTGTATGGCAGGAAGAGATTAGAGTTGTATGGCAGGAAAAGATAAGAGTTTTATGGCAGGAAGAGATTAGAGTTGTATGGCAGGAAGAGATTAGAGTTGTATGGCAGGAAGAGATTAGAGTTGTATGGCAGGAAAAGATAAGAGTTGTATGGCAGGAAGAGATTAGAGTTGTATGGCAGGAAGAGATTAGAGTTGTATGGCAGGAAGAGATTAGAGTTGTATGGCAGGAAGAGATTAGAGCTGTATGATGGGAAGAGATTAGAGTTGTATGGCAGGAAGAGATTAGAGTTGTATGGCAGGAAGAGATTAGAGTTGTATGGCAGGAAGAGATTAGAGTTGTATGAGGGGAACAGTAGCATCACACAAAGGTGGAGAGAGAGAGAGAGAGAGAGAGAGAGAGAGAAGGAGAGAGGGAGGGAGAGAGAGAGGGAGAAGGACAGAGAGGGAAAGGGAGAGAGAGTGATAAAGAGAGGGAGAGAGAGAGGGGGAGACAGGGAGGAGAAGGGGAGAGAGAAAGAAGGAGAGAGAAAGGGGGAGAGAGAAAGGGGGAGAGAGAGGAGAAGGAGAGAGAGAGAGAGAGAGAGAGAGAGAGAGAGAGAGAGAGAGAGAGAGAGAGAGAGAGAGAGACTCACACATTCACAAGCATGCACAGACTCACACATTAACCAGGTCATATTTAATAATAAATCATATAAAACATATACATACTATTGTAGAAAATGATTGTTATGAATTAATATATGCTGTCAAGATGCAGCAGATTGTGATATGGCACCATAAACAATCAGTTTTGTGTATTTCAAGAATATAACATATAAAAGTATAACATATAAAAAGTATCAAATATAAAAGTATCACATATAAAAGTATCACATATAAAAGTATCACATATAAAAGTATCACATATAAAAGTGTCACATATAAAAGTATCACATATAAAAGTATCACATATAAAAGTATCACATATAAAAGTGTCACATATAAAAGTATCACATATAAAAGTGTCACATATAAAAGTATCACATATAAAAGTGTCACACATAAAAGTATCACATATAAAAGTATCAAATATAAAAGTGTCACATATAAAAGTATCACATATAAAAGTGTCACATATAAAAGTATCACATATAAAAGTGTCACATATAAAAGTATCACATATAAAAGTGTCACATATAAAAGTATCACATATAAAAGTGTCACATATAAAAGTATCACATATAAAAGTGTCACATATAAAAGTATCACATATAAAAGTGTCACACATGTGAAAGTATCACAGACAAGCTGTATGTCAGTCAAGAATGTTGAACGATTCCCTTGCAGGTATGGTTCTGGGACACGCATTTTTCCCAGGTCATGGCAAGGGAGGCGACACACATTTTGATGACGATGAAGTTTGGACAACTAATTCTTCAGATGGTATGTATCGTTTAGCACTAGCATTTTGGTATGTATGGTTTAGCACTAGCATTTTGGTATGTATCGTTTAGCACTAGCATTTTGGTATGTATCGTTTAGCACTAGCATTTTGGTATGTATCGTTTAGCACTAGCATTTTGGTATGTATCGTTTAGCACTAGCATTTTGGTATGTATCGTTTAGCACTAGCATTTTGGTATGTATCGTTTAGCACTAGCATTTTTGGAGCTACCCTAGCCACTACACCAGGGACAGCTACCCTAGGATGGACTACCCTAGCCACACCAGGGCGGCTACTCTAGCCACTACACCAGGACAGCTACCCTAGCCACTACACCAGGACAGCTACCCTAGCCACTATACCAGGACAGCTACCCTAGCCACTACACCAGGACAGCTACCCTAGCCACTACACCAGGGCAGCTACCCTAGCCACTACACCAGGACAGCTACCCTAGCCACTACACCAGGACAGCTACCCTAGCCACTACACCAGGACAGCTACCCTAGCCACTACACCAGGACAGCTATCCTAGCCACTACACCAGGACGGCTACCCTAGCCACTACACCAGGGCTGCTACCCTAGCCACTACAACAAGGTGTCTTCCGCAGATGGAAGATGGATGTTTTAAAGATGTTCAATGTACAAAAGCCCAAGCAACAGCAGCATTTCACAAGACCATGAATGTTTTGGTACAATATATCTGCATCGGTCAAGATAAGAGAAAGTTGCTCACAGTTACACAGAGCCAGTGAATCATGAACAGTCAGTCGATTCATGATATAATATATTAGCAATAGGAGAATTGCTTTCAAATTCAGCTGCGACTCGCTGCAGCCACGGCCGGTGTTCGAATCCGGGCAGTTTCTGGGGTTCACCCAGCCTCTAGGAAATGGGTACCAGAGTTAACACTCTGGGGTGAATGGAGGAACATTGCTGTAGCTACGGAGTTGCGTGCCGAAGGTGAGACAGGCAGACAGTTTCTGATTAGCTGTTTGTACTAGTGACAGTGATGGTTTATGACTGTGTGCAATGACGCTGGTTCACATCTCCTGACTTGACCTTGACCTTTTAGATAATGATAGTACACAAAGAACATGTAAAAGTGAAATGACATTTTGAAAGAAATTACATTTTTTTAAAAATTAAAAATCTCACAGAATGACTATTTATATCAGAGGGGGAGGATCCACATCATTGTGCACGTCAGGGGAAAAGGGAAATGTAATTCTTGGGTAGGACAATAGAGAGAGGGGATTAAAGTTGGAGGGGAAGCAAGTATGGCAGAGATAAGAGAGAACAGGATGTTTAAAAAATTGTTTAAATGTAACTCACTCATGCACTCACCAATCCACCCACCCACCCACTCACACTCACTCACTCACCAATCCACCCACCCACCCACTCTCACTCACTCACCCACCCACCCACTCACTCACTCACTCACCCACCCACCCACCCACCCACTCACTCACCCACACTCACTCACTCACACACACACTCACTCACTCACTCACTCAAACACTCACTTACTCACACTCACACACACTCACTCACTCACTTGCTCACTCACTCACTCACTCACACTCACTCACTTACTCACCCACCCACCCACTCACTCACTTACTCATGCACTTACTCATTAACTTACTCAATAAATGCACTTACTAACTCACTCGCTCACTCATTTACTCACATATATACACTCACTCACTCATTTACTCACTCACAAACTCATGCACTTACTCACTGACTCAATTATTCATGCACTCACATATATGTACTCACCTTCTCACTCACTCACTCACTCACTCACTCACTCACTCTCTCACTCACTCACTCACTCACTCACTCACTCACTCACTCACTCACTCACTCACTCACTCACTCACTCACTCACTCACTCACTCACTCACTCACTCACTCACTCACTCACCCACTCACTCACTCACTTACACACTCACTGACTCACTCACTCACTCACTCACTCACTCACTCACTCACTCACTCACTCACTCACTCACTCACTCACTCACTCACTCATTCACTCACTCACTCACTCACTCACTCACTCACTCACTCACTCACTCACTCACTCACTCACTCACTCACTCACCCACTCACTCACTCACTTACATATTTGTACTCCTACACTCATTAACTCACACTTACGCACACACACATATATACTTTTATACACACACCCAGTCACTCACGCACACACGCACACATATATACAGCTAATACAGAGACATGATTTCTGAACTCTCCTGTTTCTAAAACAAGGATCAGGCGTTGACCTATTTATGGTTGCTGCTCATGAATTTGGCCATGCCCTTGGACTTGCTCACAGTGGAGACCCCAGTGCCTTGATGTACCCCTGGTACATGGGCTTTGAAGGCAGGTTCCAGCTACCTGAAGACGACTTGAGAGGCATCACCAGTTTATACGGTGAGTGCAGTTTTTATCTCAGTGAAATAATCGTACCATTTTTTGTCAATATAAAGTAGACCCCAAACTCTGACTGGAGTGTAGCCAGAGGGTGTGGCCAGTTCACTACACTCAGAGGTTGTGGCCAGTTCACTACACTCAGAGGGTTGGGCCAGTTCACTACACTCAGAGGGTTGGGCCAGTTCACTACACTCAGAGGGTTGGGCCAGTTCACTACACTCAGAGGGTGTGGCCAGTTCACTACACTCAGAGGGTGTGGCCAGTTCACTACACTCAGAGGGTTGGGCCAGTTCACTACACTCAGAGGGTGTGGCCAGTTCACTACACTCAGAGGGTGTGGCCAGTTCACTACACTCAGAGGGTGTGGCCAGTTCACTACACTCAGAGGGTGTGGCCGGCTGACTACACTCAGAGGGTGTGGCCAGTTCACTACACTCAGAGGGTGTGGCTAGTTCACTACACTCAGAGGGTGTGGCCAGTTCACTACACTCAGAGGGTGTGGCCGGCTGACTACATTCAGAGGATCTGGCTGGCTCACTACACTGTTGGGAAATGAACAGGCCGACAAACTGGCTGGCTCTGCACAACTTGGGGGAATACTGATACATGATAAGGCAGATGTGGTTAGTGCCTTGTGGAAGAGCTTGTACAGTTCGGAGGAGCAGATGGATCACCACAGTCTGGTGAAATTGATGCAGCGGGGAGTGACGAGAGGTTCTGGCAGATGCTAGAGGCTCAGAGGAAAGGCAATACAGACTTTTAATCAGAATGCTACTGCAACCATTAGTATCGGAACTCTTCACTGGCTGCTGAAGATGTGGATGGAGAACTTAGGGAAATGCCCCGAGTGCTGGTTCTTGAATCAAATAAAATCTTTTCACTACTCCTGGAATGCCTCGTGGCATCAGGGTAGGAAGAGATCTCTAGAATATGTGCTTCTGTTCACCTGGTAGGTAGTAATTTTCAGTGTCTCTGATATTTCTGTGGTCCATCTTCTGCGTGGTTGACCTATCGGTCTGTTACCGTTGTATCTGTATAACATTGCTCTCTGTGGTGCCCTGTCTGCTGCCAATCTTGTTACATGGCCAAACCATTTGATTTGTTGTCTACCTATAAAGTTTAGTATTGGTTCTGTGCCAACTCTCCTCCTGATATCATCGTTCCTAAGTCGATCTTTCTCCGTTACACCTTGCATAGTACGTAAACATTTCATTTATGTCGAGACTATATTCTTTCTGTCTTCTGAAGACAGTGTCCATTTTTGACATTGATAGAATAGTGTTGGTAAGAAAAATGTGTTAAACAGTGTTCTATCAGTGTTCATATTCACATTCTTGCATTTTAAAATTGGTGCCATTTGGCCTAAAACTTGATTGGCTTTATTGCATCTTTGTTGGATTTCTGAACACCATGGGAGAGATATTTGAGCATCCCTGCCCTCCCAGGCCAGTCCCTGCCCTCCCAGGCCAGTCTCTGCCCTCCCTGCCCTCCCAGGCCAGTCCCTGCCCTCCCTGCCCTCCCAGGCCAGTCTCTGCCCTCCCAGGCCAGTCTCTGCCCTCCCAGGCCAGTCTCTGCCCTCCCAGGCCAGTCCCTGCCCTCCCAGGCCAGTCTCTGCCCTCCCTGCCCTTCCAGGCCAGTCTCTGCCCTCCCTGCCCTCCCAGGCCAGTCTCTGCCCTCCCTGCCCTCCCAGGCCAGTCCCTGCCCTTCCTGCCCTCCCAGGCCGGTCCCTGCCCTTCCTGCCCTCCCAGGCCGGTCCCTGCCCTCCCAGGCCGGTCCCTCCCCTCCCTGCTCTCCCAGGCCGGTCCCTGCCCTCCCAGGCCAGTCCCTCCCCTTTCTGCTCTCCCAGGCCAGTCCCTGCCCTTCCTGCTCTCCAGGCTTGTCCCTGCCCTCCCAGGCCAGTCCCTGCCCTCCCAGGCCGGTCCCTCCCCTCCCTGCTCTCCCAGGCCGGTCCCTGCCCTCCCAGTTCACCTTGGTAACCTTTCTCAGACAATATTCATGTGGTTATTATCACTTTTGTAGAGTGGCATATAGGTGAAACTGAAACAGTTTTCAAATCTACACTTGTCAATCTCATTATTGTTCCAACACTTTATGGACAAAATTAGTAAAAAGTCAAGTAAGCAATTTTTGCCCATTGTAAACTTGGACAAGGCACAGCTTATTGCCAGTCATATTTGGCTGTATATTGTCACAATTTATTGTCAGGCATATTTGGCTGTATCTCGTCACAGTTTACAGTCAGGCATATTTGGCTGTATCTCGTCACAGTTTACAGTCAGGCATATTTGGCTGTATCTCGTCACAGTTTACAGTCAGGCATATTTGGCTGTATCTCGTCACAGTTTACAGTCAGGCATATTTGGCTGTATCTAGTCACAGTTTACAGTCAGGCATATTTGGCTGTATATCGTCACAGTTTACTGCCAGGCATATTTTGCTGTATCTCGTCACAGTTTATTGCCAGGCATATTTGGCTGTATCTCGTCACAGTTAACTACTGCCAAAGTTAAATAAAATGAAGCAAATAAATGAATCCTTTATAAATGAAGTTAAAATTCAACCACTCTCCAAAGGAACTGCATGTTTTACCAGGTCAACCGCAATGTCAGAATCATGTCTTTCTGTTTAAACAATTATGTATCACAGTCAACATCACTACACACTGTGCATTGCACTGTGTTATCAGAGTCAACATCACTACACACTGTGCATTTCACTGTGTTATCACAGTCAACATCACTACACACTGTGCATTTCACTGTGTTATTACAGTCAACATCACTACACACTGTGCATTCCAGTGTTTTATCACAGTCAACATCACTACACACTGCACAATCCACTGTGTTATCACAGTCAACATCACTACACACTGTGCATTCCAGTGTGTTATCACAGCCAACATCACTACATACTGTGCATTCCACTGTGTTATCACAGTCAACATCACTACACACTGTGCATTCCACTGTGTTATCACAGTCAGAATTACTGCACAGTGGGCATTCCCCTACGTGCTATGTTCTCTAATGAACCAGCTGTCCAAAAGTGTCTTAAATAATTTCCTGTTTGAGGTTGGTTATAATGACTCCTATCTTGACCTTGAAGACAGTATAGACATGCTTTTCTAGAAATAAAAGATGTTGCTGGGCTAGTTATTTTAACTAACTGCCATGAATGTTTACTAAAAATTTTAGAAATTATGTCACTGAAATAACTATTGCATGGCAGGCTCTGGTGAACAAGATCGTTACCTTCCGGACAAAGCTAAAGTCAGTTTGATACCAAAGACAAGCAACCCACAGACCCCAGACATCAAAACTCCTATAGAACCAACCAGGACCTCTGGCACAGCAGCAAACAAGGACACACCAGCAGATCCTTGCTCAAGCCCTATTGATGCCATCACAATGGTCAGAACTGACATCTTCCTGTTTATCGGAAAGGTATGAATGACATGATTAGTGCCATCCATTTTTGTTGTTGTTTGTGAATGACATGATTAGTGCCATCCTTGTTGGTTGTTGTTTGTGAATGACATGATTAGTGCCATCCATTTGTGTTGTTGTTTGTGAATGACATGATTAGTGCCATCCTTGTTGGTTGTTGTTTGTAAATGACATGATTAGTGCCATCCATTTGTGTTGTTGTTTGTGAATGACATGATTAGTGCCATCCATTTTTGTTGTTGTTTGTGAATGACATGATTAGTGCCATCCTTGTTGGTTGTTGTTTGTGAATGACATGATTAGTGCCATCCTTGTTGGTTGTTGTTTGTGAATGACATGATTAGTGCCATCCATTTGTGTTGTTGTTTGTGAATGACATGATTAGTGCCATCCTTGTTGGTTGTTGTTTGTGAATGACATGATTAGTGTCATCCATGTTTGTTTTTGTTTGTGAATGAAATGATTAGTGCCATCCATTTGTGTTGTTGTTTGTACTTATTGTCAGCAGTCAGTACTAGAGTAGTATGATCATTACCTTGGGCTAACTACAGACTCTTTAGACTAGGGCATTGCAACTGATTCTTTACACTTCACAATGATTTATTTACAAGTGATTTCCAAAATTTTTGCAACTGAATGTTCAGATTTTAGTTTCACAACTGATTTTTTAAACCATAAATTACAACAGATTTTAACAGACTTGTTGTTCTCAACTAATTCATGAGACTTTTCCAGGATTTATCATCTCTGCTATCATCTCTGTTATCATCTCTGTTATCATCTCTGCTATCATCTCTGCTATCATCTCTGTTATCATCTCTGTTATCATCTCTGTTATCATCTCTGCTATCATCTCTGTTATCATCTCTGTTATCATCTCTGTTATCATCTCTGCTATCATCTCTGCTATCATCTCTGTTATCATCTCTGTTATCATCTCTGCTATCATCTCTGCTATCATCTCTGCTATCATCTCTGCTATCATCTCTGCTATCATCTCTGTTATCATCTCTGTTATCATCTCTGTTATCATCTCTGTTACTGCAATGGCAGGGAAGTGCCAACAAGTGGGGACAGAGCATCATCTTGCTTTGAACCAGATGTTATTTGAAAAAGGGTCTGACTTTCTGCCTTTATATATTACTGTATTACAAGTGTCTTCTATACAAAGTTGGGTCATGGTAATGAACTAATGTGGCATTCCAAAGTCCTTCATAGCATTGCATGAACTGTTTCTATGTACACTTTTTAAAATTTAGAAAATCATTAGAGACCTAAACACATGACCTTCTGATCTGCAGGTGAGCATTTAGCCACTACACCATGGCGGCTACCTAATTTTGACTTCAGTAAACAGTGTTAATCTCCCCCCCCCCCCCCCCCCCCCCCCCCAATGTTTATTTATGTGTATAATGTTAAAAAGCTGGAAGTTAAAAGTCATTGTACAAAGAAAAGTGTTCTGCGACATCATAGTCAGTGTTGAAAAGATCTGCACATTTGGACAGCAGTAGCTAGAATTTGTGTTATAGAGATGCAATCTGCAACAATACAACCCAAAACTGTTCCAATACTTCAAGTCATAACTGTTTCAATACTTCAGGCCAAAACTGTTCCAACACTTCAAGACAAAACTGTTCCAACACTATAAGACAAAACTGTTCCAACACTTCAAGACAAAACTGTTCCAACACTTCAAGACAAAACAGTTCCAACACTTCAAGACAAAACAGTTCCAACACTTCAAGACAAAACTGTTCTAACACTTTAAGACAAAACTGTTCCAACACTTCAAGACAAAACTGTTCCAACACTTCAAGACAAAACAGTTCCAACACTTCAAGACAAAACTGTTCCAACACTTCAAGACCAAACTGTTCCAACACTTCATGCTAAAACTGTTCCAACATTTCAAAACAAAACTGTTCCAATACTTCAAGCCCAAACTATTACAACACTTTAGGCCTAAACTGTTCCAACACTTCAAGACAAAACTGTTCCAACACTTCATGCTAAAACTGTTCCAACACTTCATGCCAAAACTGTTTCAACACTTCAAAACAAAACTGTTCCAACACTTCAAAAAAAAACTATTCCAACACTTCAAAACAAAACTGTTCCAATACTTCAAGCCCAAAATGTTCCAACACTACAAGCCTAAATTGTTCCAACACTTCAAGACAAAACTGTTCCAACACTTCAAGCTAAAACTGTTCCAACACTTCAAGTAAAAATGGTTCCAACACTTCAAGACAAAACTATTCCATTAAATCAGACATATCTTGGGCAACACATTTATTTCTCATGGAAGACGAGAAAGGGATTTCTTATGAATAATGTGGTCATTTCTGATTGAAGGTAATGAGTCATGGACAGTCACAGATGAGTGAGAAATGACTTGAAGGCTGATCTGTAGATTTATAGATGATGTCTGAGGATGAGACCATCTGGGACAAATAAGAAGGCTAATTACAACATCGAACCAGTTTATGAAGAGAGATCTGATTGCTAATTTAGATATAATAATCCAGATTGTTTCAACACAAAATAAGCAGAAAACAACTGGAATATGATAACAAGAAGGTTAGGGAGGAAGTTGCATTCTGTAATTCTGTAGGATTAATATCTCAAGAACCTCATTCAACAACAAAGTCATATAGCACATTTCCACTGGGACATCACAAAATATTAATGGAGTCACATGTAGTTCAGTGGGATGGGTTGTTACTATCAGAATTATTCATAACACTAACAGAAGGATCTGTATAAACATGCTAATACACGGTTTATGGTATACAGTTGAACTCATTTACTGACAAGAAAGGTTTGTTGGGCCTTACTTTGAGCATCAGCTAATCCGAACCCTGCATTATTTGGGCCCTACTTAAATCATTAACTATTCTGAACCCTGGGTTTGTTGAGTCCTAATTTGATCATAAACTATTCTGAACCCTGAGTTTGTTGGGCCCTACTTTGAGCATAAACTATTCTCAACCCTGAGTTTGTTGGGCCCTACTTTGAGCATAAACTATTCTCAACCCTGAGTTTGTTGGCCCTACTTTAAGCATAAACTATTCTGAACCATGGTTTCACTTCCAAGTGTTCCATTAACCTCTTCAGTCCTAACTGTTGTTCTCATTTCTTTCTCAGAATATTATTGTTTTAACTCCTTCCGGACCCAAACATCACATCTGGATATAATGAGTTGAATTTGCTTAAACTTGGGTCTGAAAGAGTTGGAGAAACAAATAATGTTATAGGTGATTACATTTTAAGTTTCACAAGCATAAATCTGCACGTTAACATGAAGTTTCGCAAGTATAAATCTGTATGTTAACACAAAGTTTCACTAATATAAACCTGTATGTTAACATGAAGTTTCAATAACATAAACCTGTATGTTAACATGAAATTTCACTAACATAAACCTGTACGTTAACATGAAGTTTTCTAAGCATAAATCTGTATTTGAACACTGTATGTCTCTGCTTCAGTGGTTTTGGCGCTTAGATTCCAGGAGAGTCCCAGCTAAGCCAAGCGAAATACACCAGTTCTGGTACGGCTTTCCAAAACATTTGGAGAAAATTGATGCTGTTTTTGAAAGACCTGACCACAAAATTGTATTTTTCTCTGGTAAGTTGAAAGAGAAGTTAAGAAAAATTGTTCTCATTTTAAAATAAATTCAAAAATAGCTCCAGAAAAGTAGAATATGTTTTATACTGCTTAACACTGCACACTGTTATGCTTATTGTTACAGTTGCAACTCTCTCTGTGTCTTTGTCTCTCTCTCCCCTCTCTTCCACACTTTCTCACCTTCTCTCTTTCCCCGTCTCTCAGACATCTCTCTCACTTTATGCTCGTCATTCACTGATACTGTAAAGAAATGCCAGTGTAATCTTAAAAAAGTATTTAATTCAAAAACTGTAAATATGCGTTTCTGTTAAAAACTATCAATAACACATCATTTCTTCAACAAAACAAAAAACATAAATTCAGTACAAATAAATACAAAATGTTAAAGCATAAAGGTATTATCTAAATACAAATTAGTTACTATTTGTTTACTACCATAACCCAGAAGGTATCAACAGGATGGTATTCAGATAATTGCAATATAACAACGTGAATATAATACAACATGAATGAGATGGTTATGTGCTGTATAAAATAGCAAAAGTATACACTGAAAATATAATGGACACTACACATCCCTGTTATACATCATGAGAGTTCAATAGGATGTTGTTTTTCTGTGAAAACTAGCACTACAGATGCAGACTGCAGAATGACACAGATGTACCAGTCTGTCTGTTCATTGTGTTGTGTTCTGCTGAAGCTAAATATCTAAGGGGTTGTCTGTGCACAATAAGTCGTGAGCTCAGTTTCATTTGTTCATTATAAAAAATGTTTACAAATGAACTGAAAGAGTTCAACTTCTTTAAGATGTCTCAGTGTCCCGTGACCTGACAAGACAGTACTTGTTTTTATTGATGCCATATGCTACATGTCTGCAGCTGATTAGCAGTAACAAGTTCAGTCCACCATAAACTGAATTGTGAGCCAATATTAAAACAATGGAGAATAAGATTTTCTTGTGCTTCATGATGTATTGATGTTTTGTGCAGTAAGCACCTGAAGAGATGTGGGAAAATATGCCAGGTCATTGTTCCTTTCACAAATATTGACCACAAATGAGCATAGAACAGAATCCAGCTTTTATAATGAGGACTAACCTGGCAAGAACTATCAACAAAATTTATTCTTTTGTTTTCTGATAAATATTGAATGTCTCTTCTGTTGTTAATCAGTCATATTTGTGTCTATGTTGTAGGTGATCGCTACTGGGTGTTCAATGCCAACCATTTATACAACCAGTTCCCATCTGAGGGTCGGCCAATCACAGAGTTCAACATTCCAGCAGATGTGAAGAAAATTGATGCTGCCTTTGTGTGGGGCTATAACAAGCGGACATACCTGGTCAGTGGCGACATGTACTGGAAAATGAATGAAAACAACACCTTTGTGGAATATGACTACCCCCGTGATATGGGTACGTGGAAGGGAGTGCCTGTTCCCCTGGATGCAGCCTTCAAAGACTTGACAGGTGAATCTATATGTCAACATCTCATGTAGTTGTTTGTCAGGTCCTCTATGAACCTCTGTAATACTTTGTGTTGCAAGCATTTTCTGTTGTTTCATTTCTCAAATATGCTAGTGACAGTCTGAACGCCATTAAAGACACTGAACAAATGTTAAATATATAAAGAAACAAATGCCTGTGTAAATTGATGAGTAATGGATGGGATGAGCTCTAGAAGGGTGAATAAATGAGAGAAATGCCTGGACAAGTCAGGGTATCAACTGTTATGAGAAAAAGAAAATGACAATATACTGGCACATTCAGAGTTAAGTTGATTCAAGAACCCACATCACAGCACTCGGGGCATTCCCGTAAGCGCTCCGTCAGCAGCCAGTGAAGAGTTCCGATACTAATGGTGCCAGTAGCATTCTGATTAAACGTCCGCCTTGCCTTTCCTCTGAGCCTCGAGCATCTGCCAGAACCTCTTGTCACTCCCCGCTGCATCAATCTCACCAGACCGTGGTGATCCATCTGTTCCTCCGAACTGTTCACACTCTCCAAGGCACTAACCACGTCTGCCTTATCATGCATCAGTATTCCACCAAGTTGTGCAGAGCCAGCCAGTCTGTCCGTCTGTCCATTTTCCAACACACCGCCCTATCCCAGTGAAAAAATTTAGACAAAACTCCTCACCTGTATCCTCCGCAGTAAAGCGTGCCACTCTGCACGAAGCATGCCTGAGATGAAGTGGACAAAGAATAAAAAAATAGGCACTGTAATGGACATAAATGAATTAATAGAGAGAGAGAGAGAGAGAGAGAGAGAGAGAGAGAGAGAGAGAGAGAGAGAGAGAGAGAGAGAGAGAGATGGAGAGCTAGAGAGGGGGAGAGAGATAGAGAAATAGAGGGAGAGAGATACAGATAGAGAGATAGAGAGAGATAAAGAGATAAAGAGAGAGATAGATAGAGAGAGATAGAGAAATCGAGAGAGATAGAGAGATAGAGATAGAAAAAGAGAGAGATAGGGAGAGAGGAAGAGAGATAGAGAGAGAGATAGAGATATAGAGAGAGAGAGGGAGAGAGATAGAGAGAGATAGAGATAGAGACAGAGAAAGAGAGGTAGAGAGAGATACAGAGAGATACAGAGAGAGATACAGAGAGAGGGATATAGAGATGGAGAGAGAGAGAGAGAGAGAGAGAGAGAGAGAGAGAGAGAGAGAGAGAGAGAGAGAGAGAGAGAGGGGGGGGGGGGGACATCCAAGAGAATCCCTCTAATGAACACTGAGGAGAGTTCACATTGGTGTAGGCCTAGATTCAGCAGCAAGAACTCAATAACTCTGACAGGACAGAATAGAATGTAAGAAGCAACTGTGAGTGCTGTGTGATGTGTAACAGCACATCTGAATGATGATGGTATTCTATTTCTATGTTCTTTCTGTTTGTGATGATTTTATACTGGCCCAGTACCTCAAGTTCTGTTTGTGATGATTTTATACTGGCCCAGTACCTGAACATCTGTTTGTGATAATTTTATACTGGCCCAGTACCTGAACTTCTGTTTGTGATGATTTTATACTGGCCCAGTACCTCAAGTTCTGTTTGTGATGATTTTATACTGGCCCAGTACCTGAACTTCTGTTTGTGATGATTTTATACTGGCCCAGTACCTGAACTTCTGTTTGTGATGATTTTATACTGGCCCAGTACCTCAAGTTCTGTTTGTGATGATTTTATACTGGCCCAGTACCTGAACTTCTGTTTGTGATGATTTTATACTGGCCCAGTACCTGAACTTCTGTTTGTGATGATTTTATACTGGCCCAGTACCTCAAGTTCTGTTTGACCCAGATCCTTAATATTAGGCTCATAGCTGGTTCTGGAGTTTTCTGTCTGTATTAGCTCACTGCATTCCTCCATTGTCTATTTGTCTATCTAGTTCTTCAAATGTTCTAAAAAAGTTGTAGTTGAATTTATTTTTTCCTTTTTATATCCCTCATATGTGCTCAAAGTGCTGAAAGTAGATGTAAGAATCTTTTATGTGCTGGGAGTGTTGGGGGAGATGTAAGAATCTTTTATGTGTTGGGAGTGTTGGGGGAGATGTAAGAATCTTCTGTGTGCTGGGAGTGTTGGGGGAGATGTAAGAATCTTCTGTGTGCTGGGAGTGTTGGGGGAGATGTAAGAATCTTCTGTGTGCTGGGAGTGTTGGGGGAGATGTAAGAATCTTCTGTGTGCTGGGAGTGTTGGGGGAGATATAAGAATCTTTTGTGTGCTGGGAGTGTAGGGGGAGATGTAAGAATCTTCTGTGTGCTGGGAGTGTTGGGGGAGATGTAAGAATCTTCTGTGTGCTGGGAGTGTTGGGGGAGATGTAAGAATCTTCTGTGTGCTGGGAGTGTTGGGGGAGATGTAAGAATCTTCTGTGTGCTGGGAGTGTTGGGGGAGATGTAAGAATCTTCTGTGTGCTGGGAGTGTTGGGGGAGATGTAAGAATCTTCTTGTGTGTGCTGGGAGTGTTGGGGGAGATGTAAGAATCTTCTGTGTGCTGGGAGTGTTGGGGGAGATGTAAGAATCTTCTGTGTGCTGGAAGTGTTGGGGGAGATGTAAGAATTTTCTGTGTGCTGGGAGTGTTGGGGGAGATGTAGGAATCTTCTGTGTGCTGGGAGTGTTGGGGGAGATGTAAGAATCTTCTGTGTGCTGGGAGTGTTGATGGAGATGGAATCTTCTGTGTGCTGGGAGTGTTGGGGGAGATTTAGGAATCTTCTGTGTGCTGGGAGTGTTGGGGGAGATGTAAGAATCTTCTGTGTGCTGTATCCAATGCATTGTATGAGTTGGTCTTCATTTTCTTATGACAGTTCTTAATGCCATCATTCCATCTCTGTTACAGTCTTCCTCTTGCTGTATGTCCACTGTATTTCATCAGCATGGCTCTTTGTGCCAATTGGTACCAGGGCATTCTCATCAGATGGTCAAATCATCCCATAGGTTGTTCTTTAATAACCTGTATGACTGGTTTCACACTTAGTCTTCTCATTAGTATTCAAAGAGAGAATACAAGGTAAAATCTAGAGTGGGAAAGGTTAACAGGCGGGCCACATACAAATAGATAAAATCAAAATCAAATCACCCCACACATACAAATAGATAAAATCAAAATCAAATCACCCCACACATACAAAAACTTGCTACAGACATTAACTGCTCCAACATACTGGGGATAACAAATATAATCTAGAATACAATCTGGAAATAAGATATACTATGTCCTACAACAAGTAGTAAAATCTCATGATTTGATTGTTAACAAACTGTTTCATTGTTTTCTCTACAGACAAAACAATTTTCTTTCAAGGCTTAGACTTCTGGGAATTTTATGACATGAGAATGAGAGTCAGAAATGGCTACCCTAAAAGAATCTCTGAGCACTGGCTCAACTGTGGGGGCGTCGCTCAAAGAGTGGAACAGAAGGAAAGTGCTGCACAAGCCCGTCACAGCAATGATAAATATGATGATGAGGACGATGATGAAGACAGTGATAGAAAGAATCATTGCATGCTTCCCCACTATTCTGGCCTGGTCATAGTTCTAGTCTTGTTGGTATCTATAATTGTTACTGGCACACACTCTTGAGAATAACTGACATAAACATTAATAAAAGACACAAATATATGACATTAAGGAAGATGTGCAACCAGAAAAATGATCTGTTTTCACGATGACTAATTATTGTTCACACTCATTTCTAACTATCACATGCTAACTGCACCGTTTGACACATCTTTGATAGTTTGGTTGTTTTCGTGAGTTTGATTTTTATGTCAAATGCTAAATGCTTGAATTTATTGACATTACATGGTGTTATGAAAAAATGTATGCTGTAAAGTTTTTTTTTCTCTGTGTGCAATATAAACAGGGTATTTCAAAAAATACTATAAGTATTTTGAAATTGAAATTGGTTTAATAAACACAAAGTTGGTTTGTATCAAACTAAAGAAAACTCTCCATGTTTAGACAATTTTTTAAATTTAATTTATAAATCAGTTTAGGTTTTAAACAGTGTAATAAATGTTAGGATCAGTGACATGGCAACACATTTGCAGGAAATATATTTGCATAAAGGCAGATACTGTTGCTGCGTTGTGAGGTTCAGGGCCTTGGCATGTTAAATGAGGTGACCAATTGCCTTCCTTCCTTGGCCTTTTGTTCCCAGACAACTTCCAGAAATTGTCTACCATCATTGTAAGTTTGAATTGACCCCACAGATTTTCCAAATGCAACCAAAATCTGGCTACTTGTAAGGACTGAACCTGACCCACTATTTCCTGCAGGCAAACACATTAGCCAGTATGCCACCACAAATCATTTCTTAATACTGGGGGGTTTTTTTTCTTCAATATTTCATTTCTATCACCATCTTGCTTATGAAATTAAATACATTGAACGTTTTATGACACTGTCCAAACAAGGACAGTTATTTAATAGCAGTGCAAAAAAACATATTGCATTTTTCAAGCAGCAATAAAATACTAATATTCAGTTTGAAACATTGTGTGGTATTTGCAGAAAGTAGCACTTTGTGGTATATGAGAAAAATCTGGCATATTTGTCATATCTGGCCTATTTGTAAAATCTGGCCTATCTGTATGCCATAAATATTTATTTGGTTCCAGAGTAAGCAGCACTCATTGTGAAAGCTGCTCAGTAAGTGATTGGAGGGCCAGGAGAAGATGCATTCTTTTCTGTAGCATCCCAGTTTTTATCTGCAGCAGTTTTATTGCCTGTGTGTGTCAGTAACAATAACATTTTGTTGTTTTAAAGACAGCATTTATTGCTTTTGTTAGTTTTTATTATGGCTGAAGTTGTGTATATTTGCTTGTTATTTATCAATACCAATTGATTGTTGGGATACATGCTAACTGGCTTCTGTACTAAGTAAATATGAAAACAAGTATCACAGTTCCTGCACCACAAAACATATAATGTCTGGTTACAAAATGTCAGCAACTCTTCCAGTATTAGCAAACTATAGGATGCTTTTACATGTCTTCAGTTTAACTGGGTACATGATATTCTTTTACTTATACTCCATGTCATGTGGCATTGCTTGATATGACTGTCCACCATATTATGTTGCGGGTACTTGGATCATTTCTGACACAGGCACATTTTGTCTCCCTCTGTCTCTTTTCCCTTTCAGCTTTTTGTACTGACAACTTTTCATTGCAAAATACTCATAGCAGGTTGCAACTTCTTTATGTGTGAGCTGTGTCCCTACTACCGCAAAAACAAAAATTCTAGACCTTACCAACAGTTCAGTTGATATCACGCTGAACAACAACAGCCTTGAAAAAGTCAACAGTTTCACTTATCTAGGGAGCAAGATGTCATCTACAGGAGATACCGCACCAGAAATATCATTTAGAATAGCACTGGCATCTAGTGCCTTCAATAAACTGTCTAACATCTGCAAATCAAAGACACTTAGCAAACACACAAAACTCAAGATCTTCAATTCTTGTGTGATTCCAGTACAAACCTATGGATGCGAGAGCTGGAAATCAACGAAAACTCTAGACACAAAATTAGACAGTTTTGAAAATAAATGCCTTAGAAGAATACTAAATTTCAAATGGTCAGATTTCCGAACCAATACACAAATAAGGCAAGAATCCAGGCAAGAGTATGTGTCTAATTTTATACGAAAACGCCGCTGGAACTATGTCGGCCACGCCCTTAGAATGGATAAATCAAGACTTCCTTACCAAGCCCTCATTTGGACACCACAGGGGAAAAGATCTCGTGGAAGACCAAGGGAAACCCTACGTAGAACTATCATCAGGGAAGGCTCGCTCATGGGCCACTCAAACATCCAAGACCTACAACGGATTGCAACGGACCGCCGTGCATGGAGAGTCGCGACCTCTGCCCTATGTGCCGCACTCGACACAAGAGGAAAGACTAACTAACTAACTAAGTGTCCCTACTGGCCAGGTTATCCTAGACATTGTGTGAGCAGTGTCCCTACTAGGCAGGTTATCCTAGACATTGTGTGTGTAAGCAGTGTCCCTACTAGGCAGGTTATCCTAGACATTGTGTGTGTGAGCAGTGTCCTTACTGGGCAGGTTATCCCAGACATTGTGTGTGTGAGCAGTGTCCCTCCTAGGCATGTTATCCTAGACATTGTGTGTGTGAGCAGTGTCCCTATTTGCAGGTTATCCTAGACATTGTGTGTGTGAGCAGTGTCCCTATTTGCAGGTTATCCTAGACATTGTGTGTGTGAGCAGTGTCCCTGCTTGCAGGTTATCCTAGACATTGTGTGTGTGAGCAGTGTCCCTACTAGGCAGGTGATCCTAGACATTGTGCGTGTGAGCAGTGTCCTTACTGGGCAGGTTATCCTAGACATTGTGTGAGCAGTGTCCCTCCTAGGCAGGTTATCCTAGACATTGTGTGTGTGAGCAGTGTCCCTACTGGGCAGGTTATCCTAGACATTGTGTGTGTGAGCAGTGTCCCTATTTGCAGGTTATCCTAGACATTGTGTGTGTGAGCAGTGTCCCTGCTTGCAGGTTATCCTAGACATTGTGTGTGTGAGCAGTGTCCCTACTGGGCAGATTATCCTAGACATTGTGCCTGTAGAAGCATCATCTGATGAAAACAATGAATCAATGAAGAACTGACATCCCTGCACTCAGGACATTCCCATGTGTGCTCCGTCTCCTTTTTCAGTAGCCAACAAAGAGTCAATATGCTAATAGTACTGTTGCAACCCGATTACAAGTCCACCAATGTTTTCCTGGCAGCGTTCTGTAGCACTGACCACTTGATCCCAGATAAGTCTATCAATGTATGGATACTTGGTCTGTTCTGTAGCACTGAACACTTGATCCCATATAAGTCTATCAATGTATGGATACGTGGCCTGCTCTGTTGCACTGTCCACTTGATCTAAGATGAGTCAATCAATGTATGGATACTTGGTCTGTTCTGTTGCACTGACCACTTGATCTCAAAATGAGTCTATCAAAGTATGGATACTTGGTCTGTTCTGTAGCACTGACCACTTGATCCCAGAATGCTGAGAACATTTAAAGGGATGATGGCTTGTGATAACTGTTCAGCTGCTCCAGACCACTAATCCCATATGTTTAATGAACTAGTTGGTGCTTTCTATATGGTTAATATCCTCCCAGTTGCCCTGACAAGCCACATTATTTCCTGCTAGTTAATATACTTGATTTAAGCTGGGTAAATATAGAAGCCCAGATGGATTGAATAAAGCCTTGTCTTGTGAGGGGTTCAAACACAAGATCACCATGCCAGTAGCCAAGCATGGTAACCACTGGGTTACTACAGCTTCAAAGTCTAAGGAAACATGTGCAGTATTATGGTCAAAACAGTGTGGCAATGATAAATAAATCTGACCTAGAAAGTGTGACAGTGAATTATAATTTTGACTTAAGCAGTGTTACAATGAATTATAATTCTGATCTAAACAGTGTGACAATAAATTATAATTTTTGACCAAAACAGTGTGACAATAAATTATAATTTTTGACCAAAACAGTGTGACAATAAATTATAATTCTGATCAAAACAGTGTGACAATAAATTATAATTTTTGACCAAAACAGTGTGACAATAAATTATAATTTTTGACCAAAACAGTGTGACAATAAATTATAATTTTTGACCAAAACAGTGTGACAATAAATTATAATTTTTGACCAAAACAGTGTGACAATAAATTATAATTTTTGACCAAAACAGTGTGACAATATATTATAATTTTTGACCAAAACAGTGTGACAATATATTATTACTTTTGACCAAAACTGCGACACAGACACATTTGGTCTCCCTCTGTCTCTCTTTCCTCTCAACATATTTCATAAGAAAATGTCTGAATTATAATTTTGACCTAAACAGTGTGACAATAAAATATAAATCTGACATAAACAGTAATGCAATAAAATATAAATCTCCTATACAAATGTAATGAAACTGATGCTAATCTTTACGTGTGTGCAGATGAAATAAACTAAATCTCACGTGCCTTCAGCAACAATTGAATTAACTTAATCGCATCCTTTTAGTGACAATGAAATAAACTACATCAGTTCAATATAAAATAAATCAAATGCTAACTCTATTTGATTTTTTTCTGACAGAATATGTCAGAATTCACATGTCAAATGTCTCATGGTAAATGAAGCGTGAAGGGTAAATGTTTCCTGGGAGACAACCTACCACTTACACATACAGATTATCAAAATGATATACGTACGTACGTGAAGGTTGATGTCTGTAATGTGTAGTTTGAGATTTTTAATGTGCAGAAGTGTACATATTTTATATGAGAGGTAAATTTAAAACCAGGAAAGCTTTGTATATTTTATCATGTGACTTTTATTTATTTAAGCAAATATGACATTTATATATCAGACAAGTAGTTGCGAAAACTGTGCCTATTCCAAATCCTTTGTGAAGGCCATATGGGTGTGTACTCTCCCTACAAACAGTTAAACTAAACAATGTTTCAAGAGTTTGCATATTCTTGTTTTTAGGCAGAAAGAGTCCTACATGAAAATATATTATACAAAATAATTTAAAATGTATTTGTCCGTTATGACTGT